CAAAAACTTTCGAATTGTTGCATTCAAAACATCTATAAATTTTTTTTTGAGGGGGCAGATGATAATTTTCAATTCTATGGGGAGCCGGGCCCCCCTGGACTCCCCTTTCGCACGTCTATGGCAAGAGAGTTAAGCCATTGAAGTCGAGGATGCCCAGAAAGGAGCCTCTTAGCATCCGACAACGGAAGAAAATGAAACACAGTTAGGTACTAAAAATATCATTCTACATTGTACTCAAAATCTTGAAAATTTCTAAAAAAGTAAGAAAAATTTTATAGTGCCCTAGCGTGTTTTTGAAACTTTATTCACCTTTTGCGGAATTTTTAGGGTAATTTTTTCACTTTTCCCTACGAGACAAGGGTTACACATGAATTCGTAGTGGTTTGCCACCTGCGTCACGGGCCCCTCCAGGGCCCGGGCCCCGGTACCAGGGACCCAGTATCCCCCCCCTTGTGGCGGGCCTGACCTTGGGACAATGTTTTAACAGAATTCTTTTGCAAATAATATCAAGGAATTAACCTGAAAATTTGAGGTGCATGGGTAAAACAGTTTTTATTTTATAAAGTGTTAAGTTCCAAAAAACGTGGGAAAACCTTGATGGATTTACGGCGTTCTTGCTTAGCACGGCAGTAATGGTGTTCCACATGAGCCACTAGTTGGTTTATAAGCCATAGCTTTTTCTCAGCGCAGCCGCCAAAGTCCCCTATCCTCCCATTGCCCTTCAGGAAGTTGGCACTCTAAAACCCACTGTCGCGAGCCTTTTACCGGGCGTCCCCTTCGTCTCCTCCCAGGAGGAACCCAATTAAGTATCTCCTTCTGCAGCCTCTCTTCCGTCATCTTGTTAACATGACCATACCAGACAAGCTGTTTGGTCATGACGTCGAATACGATGTCATTTTTGACTCCCATGATATGACGCACTCTATCATTGCGGACCCGAATCTCTTCCAGAAATTCCGGCCGACCTTCTCCAGAAATCCATCTCCACTTAGCAGAATATTCAATGTGCAAATTATCCTAATGTAGGTATCTCAAGTTTGCATATCCCCCGTACCCGGTTCTAGACTTTAAACAGACATTGTAGCAGTAATTACCTGCTTGGAAAAACTGCATTGGAAATGGAAGGTAGTACCTTCAGATTTGAGGGAAAAAATAGGTCTATTTTTTTTTTACTTCATCAATAACTTTTTCACACGCTAGAATCATTGTCCCCTGCAACAGTAAGCAACAGTCAGGAGAGACACGGCAACGATGCAACGAGCTCTAAGTAATTGCCGTAACGTTGAGATTTTTTCAAAAACGACTTCGTCGATCGACTGGAATCGAAAAAAGGAGTTGCAAAACCCTTGATTTTGCGGACTGTACAGAAACTGGCAAAATCACCTTTTGTCCAGCCTACTAGAGGTAAGAAACTTCATCTTTTTTTAATCCTCATTATTTATAGCGTTGCGCTCTGACTCCGTGTCGAATGGGCCTGTTGCAAACTTTTGCTAGAGCAAAAATAAGAGTTGTTTCTTATAGATAATGCCTCAAAAATAACGATGAGCGCATCGGCAAAGTCCGAAATGCACTCATAACTTCACAATCTGCGTAAGAAATTTGCGTTTTTTTAAGCTTCCCGCTTCAAAAACGATACTACGAAGTAGGTGAACATTTTGTTAGAGGAGTCGCTCCATCGTCGGCGATATTCATCATGGCCGACACTTGCGCGCAGTTCCGCGCGTAATTCGAGGAGAGTTCAAGGTCAATTAAGGCGGGCGAGGAAAATATGAACGTAAACACGCCGATTGTTATCTGGTCTAATCCAGTTCAGGTATTATCTCGTCCCATCACACGAGTTTTGGCGGATTGGCGTCGGCCATGATGAGTATTGCCGACGATGGAACGACTCCTCTTACAAAATGTTCACCTAAGCCGTAGTATCGCTTTTGAAGCGGGAAGCTCAAAAAACCGCAAATTTCTTACGCAGACTGTGAAGTTATGAGTGCATTTCAGACTTTGCCGATGCGCTCATCGTGATTTTTGAGGCATTATCCATTGGAAACAACTCTTATTTTTGCACTAGCAAAAGTTTGCAACAGACCCATTGTCGATATATCGCAAATAATCTCAATTTCTGCCGTTTGCGCTTTTGGGTTCTCGATCTGGGGCATTTGCGCTTATGGACTGTGGCCTTTTTCCCATCTTGCACAGATTTTCCCAGAAATTTGACTCTTCTGAAAAAGCTAGATTTGTAAGGAAAATTCTGATTTTTCCTGGAAAAATCGAAGTGATCCATAAAATGGAGGTTAGTTTCAGATTCAGCGCTAAAAATACACTGGGAATTAGCCGGCAAATCTAAAAAAAAAAAAAAATTGACCGAAGTGATCATTATGTTAATGCAATTTTTCAAAAAATTTCTGGCTTTATTTCCACTTCTTTGTCATTCATGCCCACTCGAAGTTTTAAAATTCGATGTTTATGATCCATCTGGTATTGCAATATTCTGAAAGCTTTTTCTCGTGTTGAAGAGAGACAGTGCGCATTTCGACAGGTTTAACTGTCAAAAAAACGAGCAAGATAAGCCTCAGATCTCTTCCATGACAGATGAATTTCCCCCCAATTTTTTCAGTTCTGCAAGATGTAAAATGGATTTTCTTCAATTGTGCTTTAATTATTTGTTCGACGATAATTTATTATAAATTTCGGTCAATATTCATGAAAAGTGTCATACATCACCTTCGAGACGAAGATCTGGGGAATCAGGTGAGAGTAGGGCGATGTTCTTGCCAAGACCCATTTCACGATCAAATTTCTGGTTTTAGTTTAACTATTAAGCTTGACGAGCTATATTTCCTGATTCTACATCTTACATCGATCGGTCAGTATTATGTTTTGTTCACCCCAAAATTCGTAGTAAAATTTCGGGGGAAGTTGGACTTTTAAATTATAGAACCTTATTTGAAAGCACTCAGTTGGCCTTTCAGAGTTGCATGCCCTCAGGGCCCGATTTAAGAACAGGCTTTTGCAGTTTGGGGTGAAAGATTTTAGAGGATGGGCACTTTAGATTTGCTTGAGAATAAAAAAAGAGGAAAGAAAGAAATTCTCACTTTGAACTAAGGGGGAAACTGTGAGCTAAACATTATTAGGATTCCACGTCCTCCCTTGACATGACAATCAGACGAGGTAGGGACCATGTTTCAGACGTTGTGAACGACGCTGTTATTATGCACGGCGCGGAGCGTGGCGTGCCTTTTGTGTCGCGTGTTAATAAGCCCTCCTCCCGCGAATTCGATTGATGACTTAGCTGATTGCTGATATCGATCCAGTGGGGTGCCTTGCGGAGATTTTCACCGAAACTCTACCCGAAACACATTGACTCGTACGACTGTGAAGAAGGAGATATATTATACCCACTCAAAGTTTTGAAGGCAATTTTTGAGGAAGCGCCAAACGCTCATTTATTGTGCGCCCGTAAAATTGTGGTAATATTTTATTACATCTCAATGGAAGCTTTTTTTTCTTAACGATGAAGTAATGTCTTCCTTTGAAGTTCAAATCCCTTTCCATGCTCATTGTCTACTGAATTGCATGACTCTTAAAGAAATCATCAAGCTCCATCTGGATTCATAACTATGATCACGCCATTTTGACTATCCGTGTGAGGATCCTTAAACCTGAAGGACCCGTCGTTTTGCAGGCCGATAACCATCCGAAACACCAATATATCATTTTGTGTGATATAATATCACCAGACGGGGCGCACTCTCTGGCAGCTTTGCGGCCGAACTTCCCCCTCCCCGAACGCTCTATTCCTTTCATACATACACAATAAAAATAAATTTATGTATCAAACATTTAAGTATTACCACACTCCATTATGAATTACATTATTCGAATGATTTCCCCCTACTTCGTGAGTTTTACTACCATGTTTTGATTTATATCTTGATACGTGAAGTTACCCGGGACTAAAAAAGGATCAATGTCTAGAAAGGCCGACTTCGTCAAAACTTTGACCATGGGATTTTTTAATCGTCATTGCAAGGGTAAAAGAAAGGAGAAAATAGGTTCGATGGAGCACTAAAGGTAGACTGGTACTTTCGCCAGTATCTAACCACGTAAAAAAGAGGGAAAAGGGCACGAAAGGGAAGCAAGAAGGGGGAGAAGAAACCGGTTTGTGTCATGAGTAGCGTGAAACGCTACCATCGTAGACATAATTTCATATTTTAGAGCATGATAAGAGTAACGTATAATGCCCGAGGCGCGAAGGGGTTCGAAGGGTTGAACCGCGAGGCGGTCAGGGGGCGCACCCCTTTATTTTGTAATAATGTGACAAGATTAAAATACTTTATAAAACTTTTTATTTTAATGATAATAATTTATGTGACTTTATCCTCATACTCATATGGTCTCGCTAGTAGTCATATTAAAACTTGTGCAATTTGGCGGGAGCATTCCAGTGAGAACGACTCCGGTTAATTTGGTAAGGAGGTCCGCAATATCAGGCTCGGCAAATAACTTCGTCAATATCTCGGTTACTACCCTTGACACATCTGCCGATTGGAAGAGGGCAAGGACAGCCGCTGGACCATATTCAAGGAGTCCCTCGATCAATCCCGGCAACAGGCATTCTGGCAACTTAGCACATATTATGGTGACCAGGAGTGGGACTATCTTGGCAACAAGGAAAGCGATTACAGCCGGAAAGATGATTTGAACGACGGCAGCTACAATAGGATTGATTAGGTAGATGATAAGCTTCGGGACGAGGAGTGAAATGGCGATGACGACGATCGGTGAGACACTTATAGCGATGACCGCTGGCACCAACAAGATAATTAGCGCCGGGACCAGATACGTGACGAGGAAAGCCACCAGAAGCGCCACTATTGGACCTATATTCACGGCGATTGCCACGAGAAGGAGCAATCCAAGGATCTGCACCAATCCTGGAATGTCCAACTTCAGTGCCACTGCCAAATCGAACGGTAAACAGCAGCCCGGATAGCTGTCCTGCTCTTCTGCCTGCGCCTGAGACCACAGCAGGCACACGCCAACCGTGAGGAATAAACACCAGACCAACTTCATCTCGTCGCCCGGCCAATGTCATCGAATGTCGATGGTTCCAAGGGTGTGGAGAGCCCGGAGAAAGCTCAGCGGCTCTTATAGCTGCGCGGAGTCTTGGCAGATACACCTGCTCAAAATCGCAGTGGAGACCCAAGTCAAGGTCTTGGCCGAGAAATGCTCGCGTATCTCACAGCTGAAAAGACGCTGCGGAGAATGAATGCGCTTATCGGCGCAATTTCTCGCCTCTTTTCCATCATTTTCCGACTTTTCTCCAAGAGATGCGGCAAAAGAGAAGGAAACCATAGTATTTTCGCGTGCTTGATCTGCAGCAAATGTGCATCTGCAGTCGCAGTATCGTTTTTTCTATTTGGACTTATTTCTGCCAAACGGAACTATATGCATTATGACATGAGCCCTCAGACCCATAAGAATATGTGCATAACAAGGTTCACGTCATAATGCACATAGTTCCGTTTGGCAGAAATACGTCCATTTAAAGTCCATGCATTATTGAAAAATAGTAGGATCTCTGCGGACGCCTAATGCTTACAAAACTTCAAAAACAGCCGAAGTTGTATCGCTTTCAGACAGCGGCGTGGCGTGCTTTGCGATCTATCGATTGATCTGCCACTTAAACCCATGGAAAAGGATCGATAAACGGGGTGTTCGCGACGAACATCTTAATAATCGATTCTTTACCATAGCTTCAAACGGGGAAACATCGATAACCGATCACACACGCCTCGCCACTGCTCTCCGATGATTTACAGTATGTATCGCGATGATGAGTGCTAATGGGCCTGTTGCATGCAAGAGATACAGCCGTGCGAATAGACTTTGTAGAGGTTAAATGACACGAAAATCACGATGGTCACATTAAAAAAGTCTGAAATACACTCCTTACTGCGCAATTTGTGTTGTTAGGAACGCGCTTTTTCAAATTTCCCGCGTCTGTGGGCAGTTTTCTAACGGAAACAATTAACGGCAGCTCGCGGTTATTTCGGGTCAACTAAAACTGACAACATAACCTAAAAATCGGAGCTCGTGACATCGTGAAATGAAATGTAGAAGGATTGCGTTGGATATTTAAAAGTTGATCGATTTGGTTACCGCATAAAGCGTATATGGACCACTATAGGAGATCACGTTGGGTTTGTAAACAAACTGAAGGAAAAAATAACAACAACAACAACGACTCTGCATCTTCCGGAAATCACCGAGCCCGCCGTTTGCTCGTTTCTGGTGATTAGAAAACTGCCCCCCAGACGCGGGAAATTTGAAAAAGCGCGTTCCTAACAACGCAAATTGCGCAGTAAGGAGTGTATTTCAGACTTTTTTAATGTGACCATCGTAATTTTCGTGTCATTTAACCGCTAAAGAGTCTATTTGCGCGGCTGTATCTCTTGCATGCAACAGGCCCATTACATCACGTTTCATGCCCGGTATCGAGTAATGAATGGGGGAGGGGGGGGGGTTCCGCGAACGTGAAAAAGGTACACCAAGAGTTGTAAGGGGACGAAGAATCAGAAACAATTTATTCGTATTTTGTATGAGTTGCCTAAAAGTTGAATAGGCCTCATGAGGTTGGTAATTTCATTCTTACAATGAGTGGTAATAGAATCCCGAATGTGCCCTTTAAAACTCACCATATTTCAGAATATTGAGTATGCAAAAATGTCAAGCAATTTTGCTGACCATATTGATCTCAATAGCATAACTCCAAGATAATTAATGCTCCTGTTGGTTTCGATATTAAATTAAGATAAAATTAGAAGAGAGGATGGACAGACATGCTAGTTGGTCCTACGTCAAACAGATTTGTCAGCTTCAACACGACATCGTCATGAAAACACCATAACGGAGATACGTGTATTATGCATTAGCGTATTAAGTGCTTGATGTAATTTTACTTTACTGCTGTAAAGTTTTTTTTTTCATTATTAAAATTGGGGTCCTTTTGACTCGCCTGTCTTTACCAGAGGACCTCCTCCTGAACTCTGTCAGACAAACTAGTTTTTCCACAGGTAATCTAATTTTTTCTATTTTTCAGTGAGCTCCTTCGATCACATTGGTGAACTGCAACCTCATCCTTCAGATTGGGGGTCCTCACTTTGGCTGTCGTTTACGACTTTAGAAATCGGTACAAGTGGCCACATTAGAAATCATGCCAGGATTAACGGGACGAACTGAGGTACTTAATCGCCTTGGGTGGCACATTTAGGAGGGAAAGAAATATGAAAAGTACTCGCTTCTATTTATTACCAATGCACCTAGGGTTTGCAAAAAATATCAGTCTAGAAAGTAGTGGCTCAGTTAAATATACACGGTAAGAGAAGGTAACCGACATTTTCTGTTAATATGAGAAGTAAAACCCAAAGTAACCTTGACGCACGATTAAATAATTTTTGTTCGTTTTTTTTTTTTAAAGTACATTGACGAAATATTTGCAAAACTTAAGGTTGAAACTTTGCAACCTCGTTAAAAATCAGGCGGAAGCCGCAAAGATCGATCCTGGATCGCGGGGGCGACAGTCCAACGCGCTAGGTACTCGAAAGGCGCAACCTGTGATGGACATCGAGGGGAACAAAGAGTAGGTACACCAGTCCATCGGGGCACTTTCTTCATCGCCAGATGTCTCAAAGTAACCTACGGTTTCGGTCACCTTCACCAAAAATTTGATCGATCAACTACAGTCCTTTGGGGTGATCTAAGCGAAAAAAAAGTAACTCGACGTAACCCAAAGTACCATCGACAGGGAGATTTTTAGTTGATGAGCACGAATGGACCCTAAGCAAGATAAGAATTTAAGCATTCTGATACATATTTCTTAACAAGAATTTCACGTAAAACACGACTATTGCATTGAAAATATCTTAAATTAACTCCCAACCAAGATATTAACGATTTAACTTTACATCGTTTACGGGTTTGAATTGCCCGGTCACAACAAACGCAATTCTCTACGTACCTAAATCGAATCGCGCCTTACAACGGTTTTGGCAGGCTTCTCAATCGTGCATTGTTCTTTTCCCATCATTGATTGTTCGAAGTGTAAACAATTTACTATAGCTGAGCCAAAGCGTTAAGATTGAGGTTGCCATATTTTTGTATCGCATAGACTGCCACGGTAATGTCAAGAGTCCCTGGTAAAAATTGGCAGTAGAATCTGTGTTCCAAAATACCATAGACCTTCAGCCGGCTGTGAGATTTCCAATCGCTTCTATAGCCGGCAACACAATTTCTTACAGCCTTTTTTAGCCGATGGCGATTAATCGACAGCCTGGCGATAAAGTGTATGCTAAACCTTACTAATTACGGATGCTAGGACTTAGTGAGTTTTTGGACTACCGCTCTCTTTTTGGGCCGCAGTATCTTGATTTAATTTGCGAGGAAAGCTCCGTACTTTTGAAGGATGCCTGCCATCTAACTAATAAAAGGGAAATACATTGATCATACACTGATCCATCACGCTCGCCTCCCCGCTCCCACCGGTCGGAATCGGTGCGAACTTAGCCGTTCGACGGGTACTGTCCCCGAGGGGTGCAATAAGCTTTCTTTTCGCGATCCGCCCGTCCGTTCGCGAGTAACCGCGGTCGGAAGTCGCGGATATTCCCGTAAGCCCGTGTGTGTTGGAAAGAGAGACGTAGCAGTGCGGGTATATTTTCTGACGCGGCCGTTGCCGGGTGGCCGTCGGGTACCTTTAGCTGCGCGCGTAATTGGCCCTTGATTTCCGCTGTTCTATGCTATGAACGGCAACACTGCGGGCCTATCTATGTTTCATCCGATTATCAGCTGATGAAAGTTTTTGAGCTTTCTTATGTTTCCATAGTTATTCTTCTACGCTTACTGCTCGTATATATATTCGCCTTCCCCCCTCCCCACAAACGTTTTTACTTTGTTTTTTTTTTAATCTGAGCAGCTGATGAAAATATCTTCCCTGAAATTGCGAAGAGGGCTATGGCAATATTGTTTCAGTATTGAAAGTTATGTTTCTAGGAATATTACCACAAAATTGCAAATATCACAATGGAAGATGGTTCATTTATCATAGGACATTCCTTTGATATTGTATATGCATGTTTGACCCCCCCCCCCCAAATAGGGGAGAAGGGATAGGGAGAGAGCGAAGAGAGAGAGCCGACCAACACCGGTCGCCTTTTAAGTCGCCTTAAATATGCTTCAGGCTCGAGATTTTCTACGTAGGTCAAAAAAAA